TGGCTCTCTCTTTCTCTCCCTGTTTGTCTCTCTCTCTCTGTCTCTGTCTCTGTCTCTGTCTCTCTCTGTCTCTCTCTCTGTGAATCTCTCTCTCTCTCTCTGTGTGTGTGTGTGTGTGTGTGTGTGTGTGTGTGTGTGTGTGTGTGTCTTGCTGACTCTCTCCCCCCCCCACTTCTCTCTCTTTCTCTCTCTTTTGCAGGTCTTCAGTATTTCAAAAATGTGGTCCTTGTTGCTTCTCCCCAGGATCGCTATGTGCCATTTCATTCTGCAAGAATAGAAATGTGTAAATCTGCCTTGAAAGACAGACATACAGGTGAGAGTCTCCTTGAGTTGAGGTACCCACCACATTCATTTCAAATTTGTAAGACTCTTTTATCTCCCTCAAACATCAGCAAGGGTTTAAGGTTAGAGTTAGGGCAGGCATTTGGCAAGCTGTGCAATTTTTCAAGAATAACCGCCCCCTATTCCTGAAGAGAAAAAATTCTGATCCGTGTCTGCGACCTGCTCTAATATATGTTGGTGAAACATGGACACTAACCTCACAATCAATACAAAAGCTACAAGTGGCCCAAAGAGGCATGGAAAGATACATGCTTGACATAACATCACAGTGTTCATTTTGGAAAGGAAACTATCCTACCCATCCTTGTTTTTTCCTTCATTTTCAGAATATGCATAGGGACCTCCCATCACATTTCCCCCCCCTCTTGAAGGATATAGAGGTTGGCTTTATGTCTTGAGCTCTAAGTCAGTCATAGGATGAATCCCATTTGATAAATAGCTTCCATGAAAGAGGATGCTAAACAAGATGGAGTGATGACATCAGCAAGAATTGAGGGGCCAATTGGCAAAGGAAAGCTCAGGACCGTATTGGTTGGAAACAGAATAGAATAGAATAGAATAGAATAGAATAGAATAGAATAGAATAGAATAGAATAGAATAGAATAGAATAGAATAACAGAGTTGGAAGGGACCTTGGAGATCTTTTAGTCCAACCCCCTGCCTAGGCAGGAAACTCTACACCACTTCAGACAAATGGTTATCTAATCTCTTCTTTAAAACTTGCAGCGTTGGAGCATTCACAGCTTCTGGAGGCAAGTTGTTCCATGGATTAATTGTTCTAACTGTCAGGAAATTCTTCTTTAGTTCTAAGTTGCTTCTCTCCTTGATTAGTTTCCCTCTGTTGCTTCTTGTCCTGCTTTCAGGTGCTTTGGAGAATAGCTTGACTCCCTCTTCTTTGTGGCAGCCCCTGAGATATTGAAACACTGCTATCATGTCTCCCCTAGTCCTTATTTTCATTAGACTAGATATACCCAATCCCAGCAACTGTTCTTCACATGTTTTAGCTTCCAGCTTCATATGTTTTAGCCTTCTCCATGCAGAAGAGGCCTTCATCTTGCAGTGGATAGACAACGACTAGAATGATGATAATGACAATCATTTTAACTGGTCTATTGGCAAATAGCTAGTGCTTGAATTATGATTGTAATGAAGATTGAGAATTATGAGCATAAGTTGTGATGTTTGCAAAGTAGGTCATCCAGCGACCGGCCTGATTTTAGAACTTTTTTTTTTGTAGCAGTCATTAAGTAAACCTTGCAGGCATAAAATGACTCTTGCAGTCATTAAGTGAACATCACAGTCCTTAAGCAAGCCCATTGTTTGCTATGGAGTGCTTTTGTTGAAAACTGGAAGCACATGCCATTTTTTTGCCCCCCCCCAAAAAAAGTAGATTGCAGTCATGTGACCAGAGGATGACGCAAACAGCCATGATTATAGACTTGTTCAGAGGTGGTATTCAGCAGGTTTTGACCAGTTCTGAAGAACCGGTAGCAGAAATTTTGAGTAGTTCGGAGAACCGGAAAATCCCACCTCTGACTGGCCTCTCCCTCAATCTATTCTTTGCCTCCCGAGTCCTAGCTGATTGGCTGGTCGGCTGGGTCTTCTTTTGTTGCCCTGCCAGAAGCTAGAAAGCAGGTTAGTGGAATGGGGAGGAAATGGGATTTTGCAGTATCCTTCCCCTGGGGTGGGGTGGGAATGGAGATTTTGCAGTATCCTTCCCCTGCCACGCCAACCAAGCCATGCCCACCAAGCCACACCCACAGAACTGGTAATAAAATGTATTTTGTCAAGCATGTATTAGATAAGTATAAACATGATTATAAGTACATGAAATGGATACGAATAAAAGAGAACATTAGGACAGGGATGGTAGACAGGTTGGTGTGCTTATGCACGCCCCTTACAGATATCTTAGGAAAGGGTGAAGTCAACAGTAGACAGTCTAAGGTTAAAGTTTTTTGGGGGGAAGAAACCAGAGTCAGGTAGTGTATTCCAGACATTGACCGCTCTGTTGCTGAAGTCGTATTTCCTGCAATTGAGTTTGGTGCGGTTTACCTTGAGTTTGTATCTATTGCTTGTGTATTGTTGTGGTTGAAGCTGAAGTAGTCATTGACTACTACATTACCTTTAGCAGGTAGATGGACTAGAAGATCTCCCAGGTTCCCTTCCAACCTTATGAGTCTATATTCTAAGATATTGTGCAACAAATGATAAGGATATATATTTTTTTCTTCAATTTTCCAAGGTCCTGTTTATGCTGAGATGATCAACAACCTTCTCCAGCCCGTCGTGGGAGCTAAGGACTGCACTTTAATCCGTCACGATGTATTCCACGCCTTGCCAAACACAGCTAATACGCTGATTGGGCGAGCTGCACACATAGCCGTCCTGGATTCCGAACTGTTTCTGGAAAAATTCTTTCTCGTGGCAGGACTCAACTATTTTAAATAGGACCAGGAGCCTCAGGGGAGCACAGGAATTTTTTTTTGCAAAAAACAGCAACCGTTTCTGAATCAAGGGAGTGCTATATTACCAGGAACGGGGGAGGGAATGGCATAGGCTAATGGTGACATAGCACGCACATACTCATACCCTATTTATTTGGGGAAAGAATCAAGTGCTTCAGTTATTAAGCATTTAAAGGGCCAACTTTTGGTGCTTTTGAGAAGATGGAAACATCTCCACATTCAGTTCCTTTGTCCTTTCTCTCTTTGGTCATCCACCTTGAATAATTGGTCTTCAAATGTCGAGAGTCGGATTCCAGATCTGCCACTTTATATCTGATGGGATCAGTAATTGTTTTTTTTTTTCCTGTCTCCTTCATTTAGGAAACCCCCTAAACCTAAGCCAACTTAGGTAAAACTAATGTTGATTGCAAAAACAGGCTTGCTGTTTCATTTTGTAGGTTAACATATGCACATGGAAACAACCACGAAGCTCTGGTAAAATGAAAACTGAGTAAAATCTAGTTGTACATAGTTGTATAACATGGTACAGACACATGATCATGTCCTGAATTTTAGGAGTAAGGGGCCGAGAAAGAACAGAACAGAACAGAATGGAACAACAGAGTTGGAAGGGACTTTGGAGGTCATCTAGTCCAACCCCCTACTCAAGTGGGAAACCCTATACCATTTCAGAAAAATGGTCATCCAGTCTCTTCTTAAACACTTCCAGTGTTGGAGTACCACAATTTCTGGAGGCAAGTCATTCCACACTGATTAATTATTTTAACTGTCAGGAAATTTCTCCTTAGTTCTAAGTTGCTTCTCTCCTTGATTAGTTTCCATCCATCGTTTCTTGTCCTGCCTTCAGGTGCTTTGGAGAATAGCTTAACTCTCTCTTCTTTGTGGCAACCCCTCAGATACTGGAACACTGCTATCATGTCACCCCTAGATCTTTTTTCCATTAAACTAGACAAAGTTTGAAGGTGTGCAGTTTCAAGCAAACTGGTCAAATACTGCAGTGTGTCCGCCAATATTGTAGGTTGATAAATTTCATCTGAGATTTTTTTCCTTTTTATTTATATATATTTAATATGCAAAATACAAAGAAAAACAGAAATAAGAAATTAAAGGAAGGAAAAAGAGAAGAGAAAGTGTGAGGTACAAGGGGGGAAAGGGGGAAAAAGGCATTGACCACTGACTCTTTTTAGCACAGTACAAGGCAAATTTTATCTGAGAATTTAAAGAATGAAGAAAATGTAGCCCCTGTTATCTGAAGGGCAGGAACTAATCTTGGAGGATACTAAAAATTGTGTCCTCATATACAAAGGCCCTTTTTAAGGCAACATGGCCTAATTCCCCCATTTGCCTTCCTTGAAAAGAGCTATTGTAGAAAAGACAGTCACAGCAAAGGGTGCTAATTGTGGAACTGGAAAAAAAAATTAAGCAAAGTGAGGCTGAATAATATTTCAGTGATAAACCATCAGAAAATTCCAGAGCTATAATATATATATATATATATATATTCCAAAAGAAGTCAACCAGGGCCATATTGCTGCAAGGAAAATAACAGAGTTATTTTCAACATATTGTCTATGTTGTTGCTGTGAATTGAGCTTGACTTAAGATAGCCTTTTCCCTTAAAAAAAAAAAGGACAATTATATGTTTAAGTGAGCAGTGAAGATAACGCTTGGATAGGATATATAGATGGCTTGATTATGGCAGATAATCTTTATGGTTGTGTTCACATGATTCAAATTTGGCTGCTCAATTGTTGAAAGGAAATGTTATCCTGCTAGTAATTACTGACTTCTTGGCTTGACCAGAGTATTACTTTTGCATAAATCTAGTGAAACTGAGGACACAAATAGTGAAGGGAGAGCAAATCATGTAATCAGTTGGCCTGTAAAGAATAATTGGTCCCTGTAGGAGGTGTCTAAGCTGAGCCCGAAGGTGGTGTCAAAGGCATCATCAGTCTTAAGTTACTGCGTGCCCACAAGAGATCTAAGTCCAGCCCACCTTGAATGCCTTTCTTATCTCCCGCTAATTTCTCTTGACCATTAGTAGCTCAGATTCTTGGAGAGAGTTTAAGCTTGCAATTAATCTTTATACTCATTGAGCTGCTGACTCTCCTGATTGCTCTAGTGCTTGATAGACTCCATGAATGCTTCAGTTCTTTGAATACTATTCTCCTCTAGAGACAAATATGCTGGACCTATGGATGGCCAACTATGTGCTATATTATATGCTGATATCACAATACAATTTTGCAAGGAGAAACTCTCATCTCACTTACAGGTAACTCTTGACTGACAACCATTTATTTAGCAATCTTCTGAAGTTACAATGGCACTAAAACAATGAATTATGACTAATTTTCAAACTAAGCTTTGCAGCATCCCCAGATCGAAATGTAGACATTTGGCAACTGGCATGGGTTAATGATAGTTGAGTGTCCCGGGGTCATATGATCATGTTTTTGCAATCTTCTGAAAAGCAAAGTCATTGGGGAAGCCAGGTTCATTCAACAACCGTGTTACTAATTTAACACCTCCATCGATTGACTTAACAACTGGAAGAAGAAAGGTTGGAACAAAACTTATTTAATGAGAGTCTTGCTTAGCAGTGGAAATTTTGAGATCAATTGTGAACATAATTCAAGGACCATCTGAATTTAATCCTCTTCACTTTTTCTGAACATGGCTATTCTCTTGACCTCATAGTCTAATATAGTGTCTTTGAACTTCTCTGGATTGAGTGGAATAAAACAGAGCTCTTTTAGTTAGACTATGTTCTCAATTACTAAAGTTTGATCTTGCCTGTTTGTGATACCCATTCATATTCTCTTGCCCTATTCATGAATTGTGCACATGATATGCACAGCACATTCCCCAATTCTACATAGAGTTATTCAGAGCATCATTCAGAGATCACAGCCTTGATAGATTCAGAAGTTTATCTTTTCATTGCATGATGTGGGATAGCAGAACACATATTTGTGTATGTACTAGACTCATGTCCATAAACTATTCGTCCAGAAAGGTGTGACAGTCCACAAAATGTGTTCTGTACTAAATCATATTCAAACTAATACACATTGCATAGTGTTAATGTGTTAATATCTTCAAGTCTTTAAAAAGATGTCAGATTGTGTATCTATACCCACTCAATATTTACTGGTCCCATTATCCTGGCCATGGATCACAGATAATTCTATGAAATGTATATCAGCCAACATTAGCAAAAGTAAGTATTTGTAAAAGTTTCCTATTGATCCTAAATGGATCGTCTTTCTTTCCAGCCAAGAAAATCCATGGATCTCAGACATTATCTGCCAAATCCAGAAATTCCCTGTGGGTCATTTGCAGGTCTCTCTTCTTTCTTAAGCATGGATGTGGATTCCATCTTCACAAATGCTGCCACCATTGTGTTAAATGTATAGGCAATAATAATCTGGTTCTGCTGAAAATTTTCAGCAAACAGGTTTTGTTTCTTTCCCTCTAATTTTTTGTAACTGGGATGCTGTCTTTGTAAAGACTATTCTATAACCCTGTCTTACATGAAGAAAATAAACAATATTTATGCTAATCTACTTGTACAAAAACCTTACAAGATACCTGCCTTGTACAGAAAATAAAACCTTCTAAAACTGTTGGAACACTGCTAAGACATTATATGGCCTCCTTTGAAAAGGCTTTTAAGATGTCTCTTTCTGTGTAAATATGACCTTGTTAATTTCTGTTTAGCTCAAATATTGGGGGAGCATTTATCAATGTCCTTGGATGTCTTCATCAACATCTGATTTCTCTGATTGTTTTCTTTTTCTGTCTTTTATTTCTTTCTTCCTTTTTTTCTTTCTTTTGTTCTCTCTCTCTCTCTCTCTCTCTCTCTCTCTCTCTCCCTCTCTCTCTCTCTCTCTTTCTCTCTCTCTCTCTCTCTCTCTCTCTCTCTCTCTCTCTCTCCCTCCCTCCCTCCCTCCCTCCCTCCCTCCCTCTCTCCCTCCCTTCCTTCTTTCCTTCCTTCCTTCCTCCCATATATTGCAAGTTCGGGGGAAATTCTATAAATAATGTGGATAACTCTTTTAAGCTTTCAAGCTGACCTGGTTACAAGTGAAGCAAATAAAACATGCTATATGTTATATTGAGTATAGGAAAATTAGAGAAACGTGGGCCCTTGTTGCTCTGTTAGCTTGACTATTTTTTTTTATTTTTTTTTTGCAGACATTTCATTACCAAACTACATATACATTATCAGTGCTTGAAGGGAGTGGGGTTTGCTCTCTTGCACTGATCGTTTTACCGAGTTTGGTAATGAAACGTCTGTAAGAAAACAGCCAAGCTCAGAGAGCACCAAGGACCCCACAGTTCAATCCTGAGCTATAAATATTCTATTGGTAAATAGAGAAATGACAGGCAGCACCGGATCTTACTTGTGAACAAATTGATCTTTGATTGTAGGATGACAATTCCATAAGGGTAGAATGTGGATAAACATGCATGTACAAAGTGCAAACCAGCAAGGCCTCCATTCTTCATACAGCTGTCTAATGTATCATATGATACAGATTGGAATATATATCTCTACCTGCTACTGGTGAGGCTGTTATCCACACATGTGCAATATTTTTCTGCCTGCAAATATCTCTGAGTTGTAAAGTACATAAGGACAGCTGTCTTTGTTGTAGAACTTTGACTTGAGGCCTAGTGAGAGGTAGTACCAGGAAATCCACCATGACTCCTTAGATAGGAGAACAATATATACATCTCTTTTCCCCCCACTTTTTTTTTGTCTATTTCATGTGGAATCTATGATGTTTTGCCTGACAAATGACTCTCCCAACTAATGTAGACATCTCCATGGGATCATGCCAGTGAAACTCAGTGGAATAATTGGAACAGGCTTAGAGAAAGGGCTTTTAATGGTCTAAAGCAGTTTTTTTTTTCTCCCTCAGTCTTGGCAAGTTTAAGACATCTGGACTTCAATACCCAGATTTCCCCAGTTAACAT